TGTCTGGGGGGTTGGCAGCGTCCTGCCCGGATGCAGGGCTTTGCGCGACATCTGCGGTTGTAGCTGTTGGGGACCTTCCAGTGGGCCTGCGCACATCCGAACAGCGCCGCGGTTTGGCTGCTGGGAGGTGGGGGTTTGATTTGACCAAGGAACTTGGGGCTCTCGGTGGCTCTTCAGACCTCAAGCACTTATTTTTCTCTCTTAGACCCGTCTTCCCCTTCCTCTTCTCCCACCCCCCGTGAGTGTCGTGTAGTCCTGTGCCCTTGCTATGCTCTGGTAGTGTTTAAAAGCGTGCTTAAAACTCAAATGTCTCTCGCTATTTGCGTTAATGACGTTTGCTTTCAGCTTTTGGAAGGGTAAAACACCAGTCAAATCTTATTGCTTTGTAGAACGATGCACTTTCAGGTGTGACCATCCCCCATCAGTTTGTAGATGTTGGGGTTTGTTTCGTAAAACTTAATTTTGTATGTGAGTTACCTGAGGCTACTCGGCATGTTGCCCTGAAATACCCTCATCCGACAACCTTGAGTATGTTTGATAGGATATAATTCAGACCTGTAAGAGTTGCCAGACACATTTCTTAAAACGGTCTTATGCCTGTAGTTTTTCTTCTTGCTTTTTTTAATCTACTTTTTGCAGCAGTTGTAGCTTAAATGAAAGTGGGTTTTTTTGTGTGGTTTTTTTTTTTTTTTTTTTTTACTTCAGCTATTAGTTTATTCTTGTTTCAACTTACAGTTTTTATAGCTAGCATGTTAAGTACTCCGCCTCAGTTCAGGTGAGAACTGGCTGCCGCAACTACTTTAAAAGTGAATTTCAGTTTATTGTGTTTCCTAATTTTGACACAGAACCTTGTAGCAGAATTTTTTTGAATATTACATTTCAATGCACTGTCGTTGTGTTATGACATGTGGTGTTTTCTTATGAAACCAAGAGCAGTAATTTCATTAGTGTGGAAGTAAAACAGATTTAATTCCATTTCCATGGGTCTTCAGAAACCTAGATGGAACCTCATTTTCACAAACTACTGTGTGTTGTCTGAAAAACTGCAAACTTCTGCTACTAGAATTCTTCTTCAGCATGCAGGGAATCAGAGATTACTTTAGTTATTTCTCTGCATTTCTGTCCATTTTCTGTTCACAAGAAACATTTGAAAATTTGCTTATTCTTTGAAGTAATAACATGTTCTCTGACATGTTCAGAAATCATGTGAACTATCTATTTGATGCAGAAATTAAGATTTACATTCCATGTTCAGAAGAACCGTGAAAGATTTGTCTGGTTCTTCTTTCTCTGTATGATCTTGCTTCCAAGAAGACAGGTGGATGGCTTATTTTGAAATATCCTGGAGCTTTTCAAATGGAGAGTGAAACAGGAAGCCCTAAATAATATCATGTTAAATTAACTTATTTTGAAGTTAAGGTTAGCTGTATCTCAGGAAGTATAAGTGAAATGCATTATGTGCAAGAATCTTTATACTTCTTGAAGCACATGGAGTTTCTAAACAGCTTCAAAATGCTTGGAGAATATTAGTAATTTAATTTGGAAGAAAATGTTGCATCCTTTTCATCAAGCCCTGTTTGAGATACATAATAAGTCCCAAGCAGTCATCCATACTGGAGGCAGCGATTACCAGGTAGCAAGGTCTTCAGTAAAAACAGCACCATTTTTTAAACATGTTCCCAAGTCTTTGGGTATCTTCTGTGTCTAATACGATTAGGTCAGATTTCAGTTTGCAAACAAACTGTTAAGTCTTTGCGTTTCATTTAGGCTTGTTTTGTACTGTGTTTGGAGGTGCTGGTCAGGACTTTAGGAAATGGCATAGGTTTGGGTTTTAATTATGAGAGAAGCGACTGCTAACTTAAATTTCTTTACTTCCAGAAGCCATTCATGCAATATTGGTTTATAGCCAAAGTGCGGAAGAACTTTTGAAACGCAGGAAAGTCTGTCGAGAAATAATTTTTAAGTATTTGGCAGCACAAGAAATTCCAGTGCCTCCTTCCTCTGAGAAGCATCTACTCATTGATCGTGTAAAGCAGTACTGGAGTGGGCAGCTTACAACACGTGCCTCAGAGTCAAGGGAGAGAAAACCGCACACAGAGGTGAGTGCTGCTTTCTGAAAGACCTGAAGATGCTTAGCATTGCTTTTTCAGCATAACCAGTGTAAATGTTCTGATGTAAAAAATGTGACTCTTCACCTGTATTTAGGAAGGTACTGAATCTCTTTAACTCTTGTTTTGTTTGGTTTTGTGGGGTTTTTAGTGGTGTGTGCGGTTTGAGTTTTTTTGGTGGTTGGTTTGTGGTTTGTTTTGGTTTTTTTTTTTTTTTTTGTTATTCCATCACTTAAAGATGTCTGTGCCAAAGTATCACTGGAGATCACAGTCTTCGGCTCTGTCTTGCAAAGTATATTAGTGCATTTGAACGCTAATGTGTGGTGTAAGCTAAAATAGAGGATATTTCCGAATAATTCTGTGGATTCAAGGACAACTGAAAACAGTGTTAATGGTACAGAAGCCCTGCATATCCTCTTGTCATTTTTTAATGTGGTGGATCTTCTTAAACTTTTGGTATAGATCAGGGATTTCCAATCATCCTCCAGCCACACCAGGCACTGGCAGTACCGTTGGGATGGCACATCCCAGAGCAGAACAAAGAGATGCTGCTTATAGCGGATCATAGGGCAAAAACATCTGTCAGACTGTGGTCTAAAATGTTGCAGAGAAGGGCGGGAATGGAGAGTGAACCACCTTTTTGTAAGTGGCCCTGATCTACTTCCAGAGACAGTGCAATCAAAGTAGCACTGGCTGTAAGCTATTTTCCTTTTTACCTCTTGCAGTTAAAGTGCAGAATAGATTTTAGTGAATTTTTATATAATTGAAATGTAAAGTTTGTAGCAATGCCAGGTCTGTGTAATTTTTTTCCCATGATAGTAACACTTAATACAGTGTAAATAAGTGTGTTTTGGCAGTTACAGGTTATTTTGAAGTTCGACATTTTTACATTTACCAAATCCTCACGGTGTAATGAACTTTCAGTGTTCTATTAGTCTTGGATCTTTACCATGTGGTTCTAAGTAGCCACCTTGCTCTTTCACGTCTTGTACTTTTGAGACCTAATGTGCAACAGCCCCACCAGCTGGACTATCAGAGCTCTGTAGCTGTTGATAACCTGTTGCGTTGAGCTTTCTTTCAGGGAGTAACTGATGAGAATTATGATTTATCTGAGAATTGTTTTCAAAACAATTTTTTGTGCGCATACTTTGGAAAAAAAAATGTTACTCTTGCAAGAACACTTCCCAAATATTACCCCGTAGCCAAGTTTTATGATTGAAGGTAAGTAAATTATATTTTCCAAAGTACTTAAAACATATTTACAAAGAATGAGAAGTTCAACTGGTTTATGTACCACACACATCTTTCTTTGCCTTTGTTTTCTCTTACATCTTGTGGCCCTCACCATTTTGAAGAAATGGGTAACATAAACCTGTGTAACAGAATTAGAAATTAATTACAGTTTATTGTGAAACAAATACAGCATTTCTGTATAGAAGTCTCAAAATTTTTCATGCTTAATTACTTAACACTTACTTAAAGCATATTTAATTTAATACTTACTAGACTTTGATATTAGCAAACTTGTCATTTGATTTACTTCTAAAAGGCTTGCTGTCAAGTTGCAAATACTGACAAGCCCTACAACATAACTGTGCATTTGGTCCTTGTTCAAAAAGCACGTCACCTTACAGTTGGAGGCCATATGTCTTTATGTTGGAAAGTTTGGGTGATTTTTCTTGGGTAAAAAAATCTTACCTATTATACGAGAAAGCAGAGGAGGATAAACAAACTACTTGTGTACAGATAGGCTCACGGGACTATTACTTGAACATCCGATTGCTGCCTTTTACAGTGATGCATCCTTCAGATAGAAGTGTCTTCTAAACCAAATGTGTTTTTATAATCAACTGAAAAAACTGTATTAAATATCTAATTGCTAAGCAACTTGTTTCCTCAGTGTTTGTACTTAATTTTTGCTATTCTTCTACACAGTTGTAGACATAGCAAGAATTCAGCTGTAAGGAACAGATATTTTTTTCTTAGTTAGACCCATAATATTGTCTAAAAAATTCTTTCTGCTTACTCTGTTGGAGTACGTATTTAGTGATGCAACACTTGGAGTGGTTCGTCAACCTCTTCTGATATAGTTTTAATAACATGACTATTAGTTCCTCACAGAGACTTGCTTTTGCTGCTTACTGTGAATTTGGCTTCAAAACTTTAGACCCACCACTCTATTGTTGGTCTCAGCAGCTCGTAATTACATGTAAATGTTATTTTGAAGTATTTCTTATTCCCCTACATCTTGGATGTATTTTAGGAGTGTGTGTGTGTGTCATTTTCTGTAAAACAAGGAAACAAGGGCAGAAGTGGCTTGTTCATAACTTATGGGGAACTAGTGGAAGATGTGTTTTGAGTGGTTTTGTGCTTTCTTTCACTGACCTTTTCTTCTCTAAGGCTTCTAAACAAGACAAGAATCTTTCACTGAGCCTTTTCAAATTATTCTTTGACAGTTTGGCTGTCTGCTAGCAATGTTTACTTTGTCTCACTGGTTAAAAATACTTTATCGGCAGATTCAGGGTTGAACAAAGGATTTTATGACAGTCTGAAGGAAGAGTTTAATGACAGGCTGAATGGAGTTGTCTTTATTCCCGGAGTCAGCCTATGCTGCTATGTGAAAATCCCTGCAGCCTTCCTATCCCAATGTCATGTTGTCCAAGTCTGTTTTAAGTGACGAGTTGTACAATTAGAAAAGTAACTGAGATTCCTCCAGACTCTTGTCTGTTTTGGCGGAGCAAAGGTAACTTAAGTTATGGTTTTCTTTGGTTTGGGCTCTTTACCTGTTAAAAATATGGTGGAGATTACAAACATCACTCATGAAAGTGAGCAAGTGTCTTTTAGATGATTTTTGGCAGTCTTGCTGACAAACAGGGCTAAATTCAGGCATGTGATCTGGTGAAGAAAAAGTTCTGGAGCACATTAATTCTTTGAGTTTCTGTTCTTCCTGGATTAGTTGTGTATTTTGTTAGTGTATTCCACTGACATAGTTAAAATACCCCCATAAATCAGAAGTATTCTCTCAGCTTCAGGTATTAGGATGTGCATATTCAAAAGGTGACTTCCCAGTAAGTTCTGTTTGTTCTTAACAGCTGTATGAAGATGCAGAGTCCAACACAATTCACCAAATGAAAAAGTACCAAACAGAAGAGACTGAAAGCAACATGAAACAGGAAAGCCATGTCAACATAATTCCTTATTAATAAGCACATTTTAGTAAATTGATGTTTATCAGGTTGTGTCTGTATCCTTGTTTTTCCGTAAGCTTTTGGAAATGTAAAGGCCAGTGAAAAATTACTAGCCCAGGTACTTTTTACTCAGCAGAACTTTTGTCTCTCAGTGTGAGAACCCCGATCTCATGGAATTTGTTCAAAAATCCTTCCCTACCCTTTTTCAGTAGAACCAAAATTTTCCTCTTTGTTTATAAATTGTAGAGCAAGACAAAACTGAAGGACTATTCTAACTGTAATTCAAAGAACCTGTTCTGATTCTCTAGATAAGATTATTATGATCTTAAATGAGGTTTTATTTTGTTGTTTTTCTTCAGGCACTCTGTCTCAGAACACTTGAAAAAGACTTAATTCTGTTTAAAATAAGTATTTACATGATTTTATGTTGTTCTAAGTGGTAGTCGTACATGTTAAGGATAAATAATTCTAAGAAAAAAATGTGCTTGAATTGCAGAGTCATGAAGAGAGACACAAGTCACCACAAGATGACATTCGTAATCTAGGAGAAGTATTCTGTCAATGGTTCTTTGAACTCCTGAACTCTCAACATCCCTTGGCAGTGAAATCGGAAGAAAGATGGGGACCACAGCATTTTTGGGAGGATGCTAAAATGAAGTTCTGTTATAACACGTTAGAAAGAAACATGGAAGAATATATTGGTGCAGAAATGGTGAGCCTTCGTCTGCTTGCGTTGGTTAAAGAAGAATATCTTCTATTCAACCCTAATTTGAATGCCAATGGACTGAAATGTTCCATGTCTCCACATGGGTTAGTACTGGTAGCCGTGGCTGGCACAGTACATAGAGACAACGCTTGTTTGGGCATCTTTGAACAGATTTTTGGACTCATTAGCTGTCCTGCTAGGGAGACTACATGGAAAATAAAAGTTGTGAATCTTAAAATAGTCGGACAGAATGCTCTGAAACCTGGGATGCAAATTGAAAAGCCCTCCCTAAATTATGAGTCAAACCAACTGCAAGAGTTGTATGATGGGAAAGAACTGACTGTGTTTGAACAGAAATTCTGAGCAATTCTTTCACAACTGAGTGATCGGGTGAGGCGGGGCAACATGCGTCACTTGTAGTGCCTAGTTGAATATTGAAATAGTTGCGGCCTTGTGATGTGTCTTTTCTGAGACAGATTTGCTGTATGACAAAGTGAGATACAGAGTCTAAAGTATTAAGACAGGTGAAGCTTTTGGCCACCTTTCCAAGAGCTAATAAATATTTCAGAGTACTCTAGATACTGTACTGTACTTGGGAGTGGAGTTAGTTTGTTTATTCTTGTTTCCAAAACATGGTTACATTTAAATATGAGTTGGCAGCAGTATGTAATGAGCGAGATGAGTTGGAGTTCACAAACTGCAAGTTGCTTCTCTTCAGGTCACCAGTTTAAACTCTTATCGGAGTTGTAACAGGAAGTCATTGCTTCAGGCTTTCGGAAACTGGGATTGGTGAGTGTCTAAATGGACATGCAAGTCCCCAGAAAACCATCTGTCGGTTTAGGAGTTTTTGGAGACAACAGACAAAATAACCTGAATGGAGGCTGCTGCCATTTACGTTCTAAATGTGGTTCTGTCACTGAACAATAAAAGTGGTTTAATGGGGCAATGCAGAGAACTTAGCATCGTTGAAGTATTTCTCTCTTTGGGTTAATAGCTTCCTTTCCTTTTACCTTATGGTTCCAACTTCGTAATAAATACAAACTCTGTGTTGTTCTATCTGTGTCCCCATGCAGACAAATTTCAGGTGGTTGCCCAGGCATCCATTTCTAGCACTGACTCTTGGAGCAAGCAGCTGATTACATGACTTACATCAGCATTGTATGAACCGAATTATTTGTTAATTATTTTGTATATACTTAAAACAGAGTTTTTAATATAAAAGGTGTGATTTTTGTATGTTTTCTCAAAATAAGAGTTTTATCTGTTCTGAGATGCTTTATTACATTGACTGGAAGTCAGTTTGTTAACACTGGGTGGTTACAATGACAAGTAAAATTAGTACTTAATAACTGAAATTATTGCCATTGTAGAACTTGAATTTTTTTAGATTTTTTTTTTTTTTTACATTTTGACAAATGATAAAATTATGGGTCGTTGAGAGGAAACAACGAGATTCAGGTAGGCACAGAACTTATTTTTATGAACAGTCTGAATGTTGTGTTCACTTTAAAAATTTATAAAATAATTTATTTTCTAAGCAAAAGTTCAAATATGGTGTTGGAATGATCTTTCCCAATAAGCAGTTGAGTTGTGGCTTCTTCAGCTACTGATGTATAATAAATAAAAATCAGCCTGAATTTAAAATTCAGAAGAAGCAGTTTCCTTGTGTGTGTTTAGAATTCCTTTACAGGTGAGGGCGAAAGCCTACATAACTGCCTAAATGGATACCTTTTCAACATTCGGTCTGACAGTCTAATTCAACTAAGTATTTTGTAGTTTTTAACTGCCAGTGTAGCTATTACTTTAG